TTGAAGCACTATGTGATCAACATCAACTATCATTGTTACTGTTTTTTCTATCCCCTTGCTTGAAGAACAACAGTTCTGTAAATAATTATTTCATTTGAAGCCGTGCGTCCCAAAGTTCATCACAAGCAGCCCAAAGTCAAGGAAGTCTTGCCCCCTACGAAGGACCCTAACCAGAGATAAAGTATGCTGGGTCATCTTTGAAGATCTCACCATAAGAGTGTAGAACAGAAAGGACCTCTTTGAAACAACTCAGCTTGCAAGAACTGGGTCTATCTTGACTACAATGAAAATGTAAAACTGGGGCTGTTATGCAATGTTTAAGAAAGTCTACCAGCACCAACACTAAAACTGAACTGTAGAATTCGAGTTGTCATCTGGGGTAATTTTCTTATCCAGAAGAAGCTGCCTACACTGTGTACTCAAGTGAGAATAATGAAGATCTCCGTGCTTTGCTTCCTAGAAACTTGAGTGTAGAGTGGATAATACATAGACCATTTTGCAGCTTCTACAACATGGACTCATGGGAGTGTGTGGTTGGAGGATCTTACTTATTGTTTTAATAGTTTCTCTTTATTTTAAGCGCTTCTGTTTACTCAACATCAGTGTATCCCATAATGTTATTATTTTGTCCTATACTGATGTCATTTGGTTTAGATTGTATTATGATTATCTAATATGCCATATTTGGATGACAGTTGAAAGTTAGGAGAACTGGAAAAGAAGGAAATTTAGAAAAGTGCTAGAAGCTTTGGAAAGACTTAGCAGAAACTTAATAGGTATGACAGATGGATCATCCACTGAAGGGTTCATGTAATATTATAGCTGCACACTAATTGAGTACTTGTCAATTCTGATGTAGAGGCATGAAAAGTTGACCAACTGATGACTGTGCTATCTCTTGTGATGAGTGTAAATAGTGGAACTTGCTGTGTAGGGAAGAAACCATTAGGACTACAGTTGCTTCTTACAATTTGATTATGATTCTATTTTGACCTTACTGTTACATGCCAGATCAGAAACCTGATAAGAAGACTTACTAAATTATAAGACCTAATTCTTGCTAGAAATTATTATTGATGTGAAGGGGCAGCTAGGTGGCGCAGTAGATAGAGCACCGGCCCTGAAGTCAGGAGGACCTGAGTTCAAATCCGGCCTCAGACCAAACACTTGACACTTACTAGCTGTGTGACCCTGGGCAAGTCACTTAACCCCAATTGCCTAAAAATTAAAAAAAACAAAAACAAAATTATTATTGATGTGATGGGCTTGCTGATGAATCTGTAACCAGCTATCAAGGGGAGACTTTCAACAGGTCATTTAATACTAAAGTGCTCATGAAAGAAGCATGAAAGAACCATAATAATGGTTCTGAATAACACACTTGAATATTGAATCAGTCCCAGGTGGTTATATAGGAGCAGTAGTAAGGATCGGAGAAGCGGCCTCACAGAGGTGGTGGCAGGACTTTTCTGATGACCCTACTGTTTTCCTCCCTTGAAAGGGGCAGCCCCCCACCTGGTTGACCAAAGACCTGACTAATGTACCCCATGGATAGTATGAAGACATATATTATGAATTGGCAATTCAGGAACCAAATTTTACTCTTTATAAAGACAGAACTAAAGAAACTAGGCCCAGCAAAACTACTTAAGGTCAGTCTGTAATTCCTAGACAAATACTCTGTAAAATACCATCAATATTACCACAAAAACATCTTTCTCCCCCTCGTGCAGTAAGTTCCTCTAGTTCTTAAAAAATACACCTAATTGTTCTATAATGATCTTTTGTGTAGCTATCTAACTTGGTATATACAGAAGAAACAAATGTTTGTAAGAGTTGACTGAAATGAGAAGAGACATACTAAACAAAAGGACAATTTTAAGATACCCCTACCATGAGAATCCACCATGGAAATAGAGGGATGGCATGTGGAAAAGTATATCCCAATAATAATTTTTTAAAATTTCTAGAGTATTATATGGTTTTTTTTCCTACCTTTATATCTTGTTTGTTTATAGAAATTGTTCTCATAAGCCCTTGGGTAGATAACTTTTTCTTGGGGAGACACTATTCTACTTATATTAAAAATTACTTGTCTCTACCTGTGGAATTCATTTTTTTTTTTTTGCATCACCAGGATAAGTCACCAAAGCCACAAAATATGGTGACAAGCCTCCTTGCCCCAGATAAATAAGGGTCATAATGATTGGTATAGCCTGGTAAACATCAATGGCAACCATCACGCTAACAGAAAACATAAGTTTATCCATCCCTACCCCGTCCCAATAAGTCAATATATCATTAAGACTTGAGTATATTCCTTCAAAGAGATGTGATATGGAGAAAAGTAGTAGTTGTATTATTGGCCTGTGAATCAGCTCAAAAGGTCCAAATCTTATATTGACTCTACCTTCTATGTAGTAGACATGGACCAGTGTACTGCATGCCTTCATTGTTGCTTTTCTGCTTAAGTTTCTGCTTCTCAGGAATCAGATTCCCTAGCTTCTGCCTCCCCTATTTTTGCAAATGAACTTGTTATGAGCTATGGACAATTTCATCCTAAAATAGTGATGAGGCCCCAACAGGATCATAGGCTCAGGCCGTTCCCCCTCTGTGAGAAAAAGCCTCTGCAATAAAACCCAGCTGTGCTAGTACTTTTCCATTCAGCCCCTGAGGGGGCCTTTAGGTTCATTCAGGAAAAGGCTGGTGTCCCAACTGCTGCCTCATATTTTTGGCCCAACATGCTCTACCAGGTACCCCAGAACTGAGATGATCTATGTGGCTATTGTGGTTATCTGTATCAGAGTCTGTAGTAATTGTACTCACCTAAGTAAGGACCACCTGATTCCCACCTGTTCCTGTGTATACTTGCAATTAAACCTCACTTAATTCTGGAACTATAAGTCAGTCTCACGTAATCATTTCCTGTAGTCTGTGATTTGAGCCTGAACTCTAATTAGCTTGTCTGGTCAGGCCAACATATCACCTTAGTTCTTGATTCTTTCTTACATTATTATTACTTTAAAAGGTGGCATAAAAGTGCTAGCACACTTTTCAGATAAAAATCAGTAGGTAGAGTTCCCTTTGTGGAAGTCATAGAATAAAAGATTGTTAAAGCTAGAAGGGACCTTAGAGATTTTCTAGTCCAACTTTCTCACTTCACATAGAAGGAAACTGAGGCCCAGAAAGCAGAAGTAACTTGCCCAAGATGTTAGTGGCAGATTCTGACCAAGAGTTCAGGTCTTCTGACTCCTAGTCCAGTGTTCTTTCTCTAATTCTGAAACAGAAAAATGTTTAACGGATATGAATATTGTTCCTTTCCCAAAACCAAAGCCATAATTCTCCCTGAAATAATAGTACTTCCATTATCATGCAATCATAGTTGGTAGAAGAGAGAGATGGTCTTTTAGGGATACTTTGAGAAGAATTAGCAAGTACAAAGGCAAACAAAACCATTTTTCTCTCCCAAGATACACTTGTTGCAAAAATTTAAATGAAACTGTCCAAATGAATCAACAAGTTGTCAAAGGGAGTCTATGAGAACATAAACATATAAGTCAAAAACCCTTATGTCTAGGCCCCGCAATCAGAATGATATTTGTACCCAGATGGAGAATTCTGATAGTAGCCTGTCCTAGAGAAAATCTAATTCAACAGGAATCTGAAAGCCCTAAAATTTCCTTCTTTTCCTTAAAGATGCAGACTTAGAAACATCATCTAGGAATCATCTACCCATTTCATTCAATGCTCTGACTCATGTTTTGCCCAAAATGAAGAATTCACTACAGCAGTGTTTCCCAGCAATTTTCACACTGCAGCATTTATATACTCGATTAAAATGGAGAGTGGGGATCTAAGAGAGAGAAAAGAATTAGTCCTTTGAAAATTATAATAGATACAATTACGATCATGGAGAAAGGATCGGGAAACAGACAGACAGGAGAATGGCAATGATATCTCAGTTGCCATAAGAGGAAGGAGCCTCTCCAATTAGGAATCCTGTGGCAAATCTTGAGTGGGGTTCTAATATCTCGCTACAAGAAGGGAAAGGTGTTGGTTGAGAGAAATAAGGAAAAAGAAAGCAGGGCTGTCCTCAGAATATATGGAAGAGAGTGGCTCTGCTGGCAGTATGCACCAAGGAGGAGCCCAGCAGTAGGGAAAGCCCGGCTTGCTGTGACACAGCACTTAGCTCACTGGTGGGATCTATCACACTAAGTGGAAAACACTGCACTAGTGAGTAGGAAGAGGGGGTTCTTTCATCTCCAGCCGCAATCACCTCAAAAAAAAAAAAGAGGAACGGCCATCAACTGGAGATCCCTTAGGTTAAGAGCACAGCCATTTCTGAGAAAAGAAACTTGTTCTTAAAATCCAGAATACCTTTCTCCCCCCACCCCCACTCCTTAGGCAGCAGCATCCGACACCATCTGATGCTCTGGAGAAAACCAAAGCCTCTCTGGTACACCAAACTCATTTTGCAATGTTGACAGGTTGGCCACTGTGCCCATGCTGGGAGCCTAAATGCCACCGCTGCCAGAACAGAAGTCATCACCTAGACCGGGAGGCCAGTTCGCGCCTACGATGTTCTATGCCACCAGAATGCCTAGCATCTCCTTTAGCTTCTGAGGTGCCTGACCTCCTCGTTCGCGAGCTGAGGCCTCGGTAATTGGGCAATGACCCAAAGCCGCCAGGTCTCTCCTAGGGGGCCAATGGATGGGCAAGGATGGATGGCATTACGCTGGCAGCAGCAGCACGGGGAAGAATGGACCCTGCGGGGCGCGGGGCGCAGGCAGCGGGACCCCCGGTCTCCTGGCCCCCCCTGGAGGGAGAGCGGGGGCGGGCGTCCCCCCACGCCCCCGGCCCGGGCCCCGGGCGGCGCGCATGCGTCCCCCGCGCCGCCCGCCCCCGCCGCGCGCCCCCCATCCCCGTCCCCTCCCCTTTGCCCCCGCCCGCCGCTGGCTCCCCGGCGATTCGCCCTTCCCACGGCCAGGTAGGCACCTTACCGGGGGGCAGGGCCAGGGGCCGGAGGCGCCGAGGGGGCTGCGGGCCTGGCTGGCTCAGTGCTGCTCGCTCTCCCGGTCCCCGTCACCGCCGTCACCTCACCGCCGCCTCACCGCTGCCGTCACCTCCGCCTCCTTCTCTGCGCCTCGTTCGCTTGACAGCTGCCGCTCGCGCCCGCCGCGTCTCGAGCCCGCGCTTGCGCCCGAGAGATGGGGAGTGGGAGGGGGAGGGAAAAGGGGGGGGTCGGGGACGGAGGCGGGGCTGGGCCGCCCTGCCTCGCGCCCTGGCTCCTGGGACCCCCGCGTGCGCATGCGCGCCCCGAGGCTCGTTGTTTTACCCCCCCCCCCCCCCCCCCCCCCCCTCCATCCTCCAGCTGTCAGTCCCTCAACCTTCTAGAAGCAGCTAGAGATCTGGGGCCCCCACCCCACGCCCTGGCAGAGGATCCTTGAGTCGAGAGCCACAAAGAAAGACCTCCCACGGTTTTTCGTGATCATCTTGTCCAACCCTCTCCTCCTACGGATGGGGAAACTGAGGCCTACATAGGGGCAGGGACTTAGGAATATATAGGATGCTAGAGCTGGGAAGAATCTTTACAGAAGGGCAAATTGATCATCATTTTGTAACGATGATTTTGTACTTCGTGTACTGAGCACCCTATTATTCCCAGTCTAGAACGTGGCCAGCAGCAGAAAAAAGTATGGCCTCCAACCTCCTCCATGGAGCTGGGCACCCCATCTCTACCGTCCCTACTTCCACTTCTACCAATGGGAAGTACCAGGCAGCAAACACTCCCTTATCCATTCCTTAACATCACTAAGGAGAAAGTGCCAGGTCAATGACTGGCTCCCATCCATGGTCCTGAAGGAGGTGGTAGGTCGGGCCTCACCGCTTGGAACTCACATATGGCAAGGGCACCAGCCAGCAGTCATCCGTAATCCCGGGGACGCATTGTTGGTTGGAATTTCATTTTTCCAAGTGTGTCTGGTGTCTCAGCCCTTCTTTTCCTGTCACCCTTCCCAACCACTCCCTCTCTTCCATTCCTTGGCCTCAGCCACCTTAAAACTGACGGTTGCGTGGAATGTGGGGGTGGGGGAGGTCCTCAAGAAGTCATCCACTTTCCTACTCCATCTTCCCACCTGACCAAACCCTACATACATTATCTGAAAATGATGGCTAAAGCTGTTCCGATCTTTCCTGCCAGGAAGTTCTTACTCATTCAAACTAAATCCCTGCTACTGTACTTTTGTTTCTTTTCATTTTTCTACTTCTGTCCTCCCTGCAGGTGGAAAACAGGGTCATTACTATGAGTAATAATCCTTTATTTTCTGGAAAACTGCTGTTTAACTTCACTCTTCACTCAGGTCTCTACTTTGGACTAAATAATCCTTTAACCTCTTTTCATGTGTACTATTTTCCAACATTTTATTTTTCTTATTGACTCACCTTTACTGAATATTCTATTTGCCTTTTAGTTGTTTCCCGCCCTCCCCCTTTTTTGTTGTTGTTGTTCAAACCTGTGATTTCATTGATGTAAAGTCCTGCAGGCATGGAAACTCTCTCCGATGATGCAGAGTGTTAGCATTTCATATGGAACTCGAGGTCTTCTATAATTACTTGGGCCATCAAGAGATTCAGCAATTTGTCTTTGACTGCCCAACTGGTATGTGTCAGAGTCAGGGCTTGAACTTATCTTCCCATCCACTGCATTGTACTGCATCTTGTTCAGTCATTTTTCAGTCGGGTCTGACTTTCTGTACCCCAATATGGGTTGTTTTTTTTTTCGCAAAGATACTGGAAAGGTTTGCCATTTCCTTCTCCAGCTCATTTTATAGGTAAAGAACTGAGGCAAACAGGTTTAAGTGACTTGCTAGGGTCACACAGCTAGAGACCAGATTTGAACTCAGGTCTTCCTGACTCTAGGCCCAGTGTCCTATCCACTGCACCACCTAGCTACACCATAAGGATAGGAACACTTCACCTAGATGGGAAAAATGGGGTGCACAGACAGTATGTTGGACTATTGGAGAATTGTTGTCTTAGGAGGAGAGTTTATTCTATCCAGATGGAAATTGCATGAGCCTGCCTGTCATTTGTGATGATGGACTACTGTTATATTGACAAGGACTAGGTCTTTCCATTCCTTGCCAGAGGAAATGGCTGCCAGCATGCAGACACTCACAAGGGTGAAATGCTGCAGCAGGAAATCCAAAATGTGGGAGTCTGGCAGCCAACACCATGATACAGTGACTGGCTGGGAGAGGTTCAGAGGAATCCGGGAGGAATTTGAGCTGAAGCTCTACAGGTTGGCCATGGTCAACTCAGAGTGTCTCAATCAGCCCCATGAGTGTCTCCCATGGGGAGAAGGCAGTGTGGGACAACAGGAATACCTGGATTCTAGTCACCAGCTGGGTGACCTTGGGCAAGTCAGTTTCCCTGAGGCTCAGTTTCCTCACATGTAAGATAAAGATCAGAATCCATCTCCTGGCTACCTTATAGACAGCAAATGAGCTCATTTTGGGGAGTACTTGGAGAGCTGTGGATCACTATGGCCAGCTAGAGAGCGGCATAGCCAGTGGCCCCCTTACAGCTGAGTGATCAAAACAGCAGAAAGTTCCCAAAGGCCTTTACTGGGATTATATCTTTTGAGCCTCATGTCAACCTTGGGAGGTGAGGAAAACAAACCTCAGGTTGGTTGTGGCACACCCCAGGTTGTTCACATAGGTAGTGTCAGAGGAAAGATTTGAACCCAAGTCTTGTGATTCCAGATCCTTCACCCTTTCTACCTCCTTTAAGGAGGAAATCCTCACACAAGAGGGTAATCTTTCCCCAACCTCTCATGAATCTCAAAGTACCTAAAACATCTAGAGTGTTCCCCAAGTGACGGATAGTCAAAGGATATGAATAGAAAGAATATAAATGAACCTGAGTTCAATTCTCAAGGGAAGGAATACAAGCCCTAAGAAAACAAATCACTAATAACTAGAGAAATGCAAATTAAAATAACTCTGAGTATCTATCTCACACCCATCAGATTGGCAAAGTTGACAGAAAAGAATAATGACAAAGGCTGGAGGGGATGTGCGGAAATAGACACATTTGATTCTCCATTGTTGGAGCTGTGAAATAGTTCAATCATTCTGGAAAGTAATTTGGAACTATGCCCCCAAAGCTATTAAACTTTGACCTAGGGATGCCACTAGTAGGCTGATAAACAAAAGAAATTAAAAAAAAAAAAGAAAAAATTCCTAAGTGTACAAAAAAAAATCAACATCCACTTTTTTTGTAGTAGCAAAGAAAACAAAGAGAGTGCCCATTAATTGGGGGATGGTTGAACAATTTATGACATAAATGCAATAAATTACTATTGTGCTGCAAAAAAAAAAGATGAAGGGAGAGAGAATTTCATGGATACCCAAGAAAACTGAGAAAACTTGCATGAACTGATGCAAAGTGAAATAAGTGGGACCAGGAGAGCAACTTATACTATGTCAAAATTATAAAAATGAACAATTCTGAAGGACTTAGAAATTCTGATCAAGGCAATAATCAACCATGATTCCAGAGGACTAATATTGAAGAATACTACCCATCTCCTAGTGGAGAGGGGATGGATTCATGGGCATGCTTTTGGAAATGGCTAACATGGGAATTTGTTTTGCTTGACTCTATGTATTTGTTACAATGATATTGCTTTTTTTCTTTTTCAGGAACAGGGAAGGGAGAAGGGAGAAAAAATGCTCAATAATTGGGAAAAAATAAATGCCTTTGTAAAACATGTAGAATACCACCAAATAACCAAGAGAAGACACTCGACTTTGGAACTAGCCCAGACTTTTCTTGGTTAGGAATTGTTCGTATTGCAGAATCACGGATTTTGACTTGGAAAGGACCTTGGCAACAATCTAATCCATATCCAAATAGTTGGGTTATTTAGTTTGGGTGTTTGTATGTCTCAGGGCTTAAAATTTTCTTTAAAAAAAGACAATTACATTTGTAAACATTGAATTTGTAGAGAATGCAACAATATGGAAGCAATATGGCTTAGCTTTAGTAGATAGATTGCTGAGTTTGGAATCAATCAAGACCTGGGTTAACATTCTGCCTCTGTCAATTACTAGTTGGGTGATCCTTGTAGGCAGTAGCAATAACTGACTATTGATGTTGCTTTAAAGCTTGTGAGGTGCTTTACTTCTGTCCAGCTGCCTAAGACTCAGTAGCTATGTCATAGGGTAGTTGCCATCTACTAGTGGAGGAAGGTCCCCCCATGAATCAGTCTACACTATTTCCCTGATTGTCTGGGGGAGATCTCGGTCCCTAAAGAAAGCCCATCCATAGGGAAGCTTCCATAGTACTACCCTTTCTCCATGTGCTTCTCACGTACCCCAATTATGAGAAGTAGCAAGTTCCACCCCCTTCTTCCTTCTTTCTATGCTATTTCCTCTGTTTACCCACCCTTCTATTTTCCTTATTCAAACCCCCAGAACAGAGCCAATACACTCCCTAGATCCCTAGATTTTCTCATTTAACTCACCCAATACCCTTAGAGGACATTAAGATCCTGAAAGGTCACTTGTTTCTTCTTCCTCTATTAGGATGTTAGCATTATATTCAGGGTTATGCTGTAAAATATTTAATGACTGACTCTGAAAAAAACAAGTACACATGACACAGTTTTAAGTTTAATCTGCATTATTGATATATTCTCTATCACTTTCTTAAATCTAAACAATCTACAAAATAATAAATCAAGCCCTGATTTGTAACCTTTGCTAATTTCCAAGGTGTAAATACTCACACTGGAAATTTAACAATTGGCTCTTGGGAGCCAATTCAGGCTGATTCCTGCACACCCCTGATATATCATCATAATCCCCTTACAAATGCTCAAATAAGTTTACCTATCTACATACCTTGACCTTTGTGTTAGTATTTTGACGTTCCTACTTGGATCTGGCCTTTTCCTCAGAAATGCTTAAAAGTCCTCTATTGCATTAAAGATCCATTTATTTCCCCTGTAGGTTTATACTCAGCTTTGCA